TAACCATTTTATTTAGTCTGTATTGATTTCTTCTTTCTCTTTTTTCAGAGACAGGGTCTCTCTCTGTCACCCAGGCCAGAGTGCATGGCGTGACTGCATCCTCTACCTCCTGGACTCAAGCAATCCTCCCACCTCAGCCTCCCGAGTAGCTGGGACTACAGGCACATGCCACCATGTCCAGCCAATATTTTTGAATATACTTTACATTTTAAAGCAGTTTTAGGTTCATAGCAAAATCAAGTGGAAAACACTTGAAGTTCCATGTCTGCTCTGCCCCTGCATACATATACACAGCCTCCCCCCACCTCCATCAACAGGCTGCACCAGAGTAGCCCATTTGTTACCACTGATGAATCTACATTGATGCATCATTATCCCTCACCCAAAGCCTATAGTTTATATTAGGATTTACCTAGTGTTGTATATTCTGTTGGTTTGGAGAAATGTCTAATAACATCCACCCACCAGTATAGTATCATACGAGTAGCTTCATTGCCCTAAAAAGCCTCTGTGCTCTGCCTATTCATTCTTTCTTTCCTCCTAACCACGATCTCTTGACCTTGTGATCCACCCACCTCGGCCTCCCAAAGTGCTGGGATTTATAGGGGTGAGCCACTGCGCCTGGCTCAGATTGACTTCTTTCACTTAGTAATGTGCATTCAGGTTTTCTCCATGGCATTTCAGGGCTTGCCAGCTCGTTTCTTTTTAGTGCTGAATAGTGTTGCATTGTCTGGAGGTACCACACTTTATCCGTTCACCTACTGAAGGACATGTTGGTCACTTCCAAGTTTTGGCTGTTATGAACAAAGCTGCTATAAACATTTGTGTGCAGGTATTTGTGTGACTGTAAGTTTTCAACTCTTTTTTGTAAATACCAAGGAGCATGACTGCTGGGTTGTTTAGTAAGCTTGTGTTTAGTTTTGTAAGTCTGTCTTCCAAAGTGGCTGCACCATTTTGCATTCCTACCAGCCAAGGCGAAGAACCTCAGCAAAGGATGCAAGTTCTTGTTGCTCCATCCTCACCCTCACCAGCATTTGATGTTGTCAGTGTTCTTGATTCTGGCCATTCTAATAGACGTATAGTGCTATCTCATTGTTGTTTTAGTTTTCATTTCCCTGATGACATACGATGTGGACCATCTTTTCAAGATATACAGATGGCTTATTTGCCACCCACGTGTCTTATTTGATGAAGTGTCTGTTCAGGTATTTTGCCCTTTTTAAAAATCAGACTTTTTATTTTTTGCCTGTTGAGTTTTAAGAGTTCTTTGTATATTTTGAGACAAGTCTTTTATTAGGTATGTCTTTTGGAACAATTTTCCCCCAGACAACGGCTTATTGCTGCTTTTTCTTGACAATGTCTTTGTACTGGTTTTTAATCCTTTTTAAAATTTCATATTAAGTTTTTAGGGGAATGAAGCTTTAATTCTGGACTATCTCTTGTATTCAGTTGCTGTGTCCATTCTGTTTTTAATAACTTTAATATAAAATAGGACTATCCTTTATTATTTTTTGAAACTTTACTGGAAGACATAATACCTATATAAATGGAGTTTTCCAGGATAGAAAAAAATTAGTATTGTAAAGAAGAACATTGTCCCGAATTAAATTCAATTCAAAGAGGATTGTGTGGCTTTTACTCTAAATATTATTTTTAAACTGAGGAAGATTTTTTCACGGTTATTACATTGTTTTTGTGGTTATTGATTTAGTCAGGTTTTCTACTTCTTTAAAGACAATTTCAATACTTTATATTTTTCTATTAAAATTGCACTGAGATTTTCTTTTCTTTCTTTTTTTTTTTTTTTTTTTTTTTTTTTTTTTTTGTAGAGACAGGATTTCACTATGTTGCTGAGGCTGGTCTCGAACCCCTGGTCTTAAGTGATCCTCCCACCTCTGCCTCCCAAAGTGCTGGAATTACAGGCATGAGCTACCATGCCCAGCTGCACTGAGATTTTCTTAGCAAGGAGTTCTCTCTTTAATTTTTTTTTTTTTTTTTTTTTTTTTGAGACGGAGTTTCAGTCTTGTTACCCAGGCTGGAGTGCAATGGCGCGATCTCGGCTCACCGCAACCTCCACCTCCTGGGTTCAGGCAATTCTCCTGCCTCAGCCTCCTGAGTAGCTGGGATTACAGGCACGCGCCACCACGCCCAGCTAGTTTTTTGTATTTTTTTAGTAGAGACAGGGTTTCACCATGTTGACCAGGATGGTCTCGATCTCTCGACCTCGCGATCCACCCGCCTCAGCCTCCCAAAGTGCTGGGATTACAGGCTTGAGCCACCGCGTTTAATATGAATTCTTAACATAGACTTTTCACTTCAATGTGTTTCTTAAAATTTCCCTATGTGTAGTTACCATTCTTTTCTCATTTGACTAATTTATATTTTCTCCATTCTTTTCTAAGTTATATTTACTAGAGCTTTGACTCTTTAGCCAGAAGGCTAGTGGGTCAGTAATTTGGGAGAAATAAAGGATTTTTCTTTGTTGAAACAATGGTAGACTGCACTGTGGGTCCATCCCAAAGAAGTAATACCTGTGTGTTATGTTACAATAGGTAACTGGCAACAGTTTGAGCCACTCCAGCCACTGTGGCCACTCAAGTAGTATCTAAACGGTTCTGGAGCAAGGCATAGTTCCAAGGAGCTTCTTTCTGTTTTAAGTTACCGACTGAATGTTTCAAGTCCATGGGATTATTTTCTCATCCCAGAGGAATCTCAGAAATATTTTTTATAATGGTGTGTCCAGGAATCTAATAATAATTAACTGAAACTTGAGACGAAGACTATGAATTGTCCCTATCTTTTTGGCTTTTTCCATTACAAGCTCCTCTGCTGGGTAAGGGTTGCTTGGGTGGCATTTATAGCTCTGTCCAGGGCGATGGGCCCTGGCTGTTTTAGAAGTGATCAGTCAAGGAGAGAAGGGTGTGGGGAAGGGCGTTGCCAGCAGAGAAAATGCCAACCTATTGTGTTGGCTTTTGCAGGGAGTGAGAGGAGAGCCACGAGGACTAGAAAGGAGAATTGGAGGAGACTGGTGGTTCTGATGCCCTGCTAAAAATTGTGTCACCTTGCTTAGAACACCCCAGGTCGTTTGCTCTACCTCTTAACACTAGATTCTGCCTGATGAACAAACAAGGTCTTCATTGGCAGCATTCAAATAGGCCTTCTGCAGTAGCATGTTTTGGGAAAAATCACAGAGGGGGAATAGTGGCAAGAGTACATGCCTCATTGCACGTTGCTCTCTGGGGCGGCCCATAGACACTCAGCAGTCAGATCCAGGCTCTGGGATGGGACCTCCACTCTAGGCTATGGAGCTTTTAAGCTGCATGGTTAGGGAAGAAGCCCTGGTCTCTCCCATGGCCTGAGTAGGCCACGGATCAGTGCCTTATAGTTACAGCAATAGGATACAGCGGTACTGTGGCCCTGTGGCCCTGTGGCCCTGCCCCCACCTCAGCCTTTATGGTTGTGTAAGCACAGCCTCTTCCTAACATGACCTAGGGTCTAGGGTGAAAGGCTGTGGTTGCAGCTTTCTAGGGTTCCTATCAGCAGCTGATTTGTAACCCTAGCATTCTACCAGGACAGTTGCCACAAACTCTGTGGAGGCCAATTTTCTCCCAGGAAACCAGCATGCAGAAATCAGCCAACTAACTCTTGCTTCTCACCTCTCTTATCCTTTTAGATGATGGACCCTCTGAAGGCAGGGTTAGTGTCTGATTCATCCTTAGGTCCCCTCAAGTACCTAACACATTTGGTTGGTTGTAAAAGTGGTTAAGGAATGAATGAGAACAAGCCCAAAAAAGAGACTGATGAAACTTCTCTCTCCTCTCAACCAATTTTTTTTTTGAGATCGAGTTTCACTCTTGTTACCCAGGCTGGAGTGCAGTGGCGCAGTCTCAGCTCACTGCAACCTCCACCTTCCAGGTTCAAGTGATTCTCCTGCCTCAGCCTCCCAAGTAGCTGGGATTACAGGCATGTGCCACCACACCTGACTAATTTTGTATTTTTAGTAGAGATGGGATTTCACTCTATTGTCCAGGCTGGTCTCGAACTCCTGACTTCCGATGATCTGCCTGCTTCAGCCTCCCAAAGTGCTGGGATTACAGGTGTGAGCCACCACACCTGGCCCTCTCAACCACGCTTAACTGTCTTGAAATTCTCTCCCTTTTTGAGGATCTGATGCTTTGAACCTTCTCCAGAAAAGTATAGGCAAAGAGATACACATGTGCATGCATATGCACACACACACACACGCACACACACACACTCTCTCTCTCTCTCTCACACACACACACACACACACACACACACAATCTTGCACACAAGAGGTAGGTCTATCAATTAATAGTTCCTGGTTAAGAACCCCTGTCTTCGAGCTCTGGTAGGTTCTCAGCAGCATCTTATTCTGTGCCAATACCCCACACATTTGCACACCCCTGCTCACCAGCCCTGACTCTGTGCATGCTGTAATCGTCCCATGGTACAGGTGTTCCCAATTTATCTACGGTTTGTTGAAAATAATTGCTTTTCACTGTTGCTTCCAGAAGGAATACATTGGCTAGCCATTACCCTGAGACCTAGTAGCTTTCTGGACAGTACAGATTTTACCTGATGTTCCAAGAATGACCTTTAGGTGGACAGTCCCTACTTGAACCCACCTAAAGGGAAAGGGCCTCCTTCCTTTCCTCACTCCTCTTCATCTCTGCAGGAAGTCTGGAGGTAAAGCTTCCAGAAATCCATTGGTTCAGACCAAACCTCAGACTTTCTGGCTTTCCCCTCCACCACTGTCGTCCCTCTTGCTGTCATCCTGCCCTGTGGCCTACATGCTGGTTGGCTTTTCCCCACTAGGTCCTCTTTCGTGACTTCCTGAGTCAGTCCCTTCTGCTTGTATTTGTTTGACCTTCAGAGCCATTTCCTATTTTGCAATGTTTGGGGCTCTCATGGGGAGGAACATGCCCACCAGTTCTCCTTCCTGCCATTCCCATTCAGTGGTGTCCTCTATTTCGTAGATTCTGGCTGTGACTCTGTCACTGACACTGAGCCTGAGGACGAGAAGCCTGTTTCCTACTCGAAGCAGCAGAGCTTGCCAACGGTGACGTCGTCTGGGAACCTGATGGTGGTGCAGCCGGACCGCATTCGCTGTGGGGTAGGCACTGTAGGCACTGCTGGGGGCCTGGTAGCTGGACATCAACACTTGGCCTTTTCAAAAGCATGCATTTGTTGTAGTAAAGAGAGTGGGTTCTCATGTTGCACCTTGGCATAATTGCAGCCTTCCTTTGGGATTTCTTTTGGGTACCCTGTTACCTGGGCCCTAAACACATCCAGTTCCCTTGAGTAAGAAAGAGGCTAGTCCAGGGAGATGTGTGTCATCAGTCTAAGACTTCTATTCTATGGATCAATAACAGGGAGCATCCAGGAGATCAGCAGACAGGAGCATTCCAGACACTAATGCTAACCCAAGAGTTAGAGGCCTGTGTCTCGTCCTGGTAGCCTAGTACTGGGAGGAAGGAAATGCGTCTTGGGCATCTGACAGCTTCCTTCTCCATCGCTGGCCACCACCATGGCCCAAGGAAGTCTTGAAGCTTGATGGCTAAAACTCACTGGCCAATATCGCTTTTTAAAGGGATCAGATTAATGTCATACATCATTCGACTAGCATTTTCAGGGGTGGGGCATACCTTAACTGAGGACTTGAGTATGTGGCCCAATTGATGAGCTACTGCCATTTGAATCCTACACTAGTACTGATGGTTTTTTATTATTTTTCCTTTCCTAATTAAAAATGTGTGAATTTTATGATAGTTCAGAGCAGCAGAATGCTTCCTTAATGGATACAAGCTCTTATGCTAAAACGGCTCTGTGGGCTCCTTGAGGCGAGAAGGCATGGGAGCCTTGGCAGTGGGCAGCACTGGCTTCCTCACCCTTGTGAATGGTTTCATGTCAGCTGAGGCCATGAGGCATTTGGCAAGCACTTCCTACATGGGGCTTCTAACTGCTTCTTTGGCCCAGATTTAACTGATAGACATTGTATCAGTTCATTTCCATGATGCTGATAAAAACATACCCGAGACTGGGCAAGTTACAAAATAAAGAAGTTTAACTGGATTTACTGTTCCATATGGCTGGGGAGGCCTCACAATAATAGCGGAAGGCAAGGAGGAGCAAAGGCATGTCTTACATGGATGGCATTAGGCAAAGACAGAGAGAACTTGTGCAGGGGAACTCCTCGTTTTAAAACCATCAGATCTCATGAGACTCATTCGCTATCATGGGAAAGACCTGCCCCCCATAATTCAATCATCTCCCACCAAGCTCCTCTCACATGGGAATTGTGGGAGTTACAATTCAAGATGAGATTTGGTTGAGGACACAGCCAAACCATATCAGACATGTTTGGTTTGGACTGCACAGTGTTTATTTTTTTTGAGATGGAGTCTCTCTCTGTCATCCAGATTGGCTTGCAGTGGTGAGCTCTCAGTTCACTGCAACCTCCACCTCCCAGGTTCAAGTGATTCTCATGCCTCAGCCTCCCGAGTAGCTGGGATTGCCGGTGTGCACCCCCACCCTCAGCTGATTTTTTTTGTATTTTTATTAGAGACTGGGTTTCACCATGTTGGCCAGGTTGGCCTCAAGCTGCTGGCCTCAAGTGATCCATTCACCTAGGCCCTGCAACATGCTGGGATTACAGGTATGTGTCACCATACCTGGCCAAGACTGCACAGTATTTTTAAAGTTAGGCATTGGCTGGGTGTAGTGGCTCACACCTGGAATGCCAAGACTTTGGGAGGCCAAGGCAGGGTGGATCCCTCGAGCTCAGGAGTTTGAGGCCAGCCTGGGCAACATGGTGAGACTCCCATCTTTATTTTTATATTTTACTTTTTAAAATTATTTTTAAAAGTTAGGCATAAAAATCTTTATTTCCAGCTTCCTTTGAATCAGAATCTGGTCATATTAGGCCAAAGACGATTGGTGGGGGCTGAGCAACCCTTTACATGGGCTGTGCATCCCCCAGTTAGGGTGTTCCCATATTCCCTGTTCTTTATACTCAGCCTATCTCACTCCTTTGCCTTACTGGCCATGCCTTTATGGACATTTCCATTTTAAATCTTCCTGTGCCACTTCCTGCCTTCCCATGCCCTTCTGGTCAGGCTGTTGGGTGCCCATAGGTAAAGGGGGGGAAACCAAAGTGTGATCTCCTTTGCTCACCTCTGTGATTTTTCCAGGGTCCCATTCCTGTCTTGACTGCCTGTGAACCCAGGATTCTCCTTGTTACTGATTTCAGGCCTCTGGATCCTGGGAGGAGGGGGACGGGCAGGCTGGGATTGGATCCTGACTGTCAGTAGGGGAGACACACATTCTCATTGGCTCCTCATGCTTCCTGGCATAAAGTGCAGGTGGGACAACCACCACAGCACATGTGTGTGCAGCCTTAGCAGCTCCCAGCAGCCAGGATCACTGCCCTCCCCATCACCTGGCATAAAGTCCAAGCTGTCCACACCCTCTCATGGCCTTCATTGTCATGAAGGGCTAATCTGAGGGCTATAGCAGAGTCTTAGGAGGAACATTTGGGGATTCGCTATGGCCAGAAATCTCTCCTTACCCTGTCTGTTTTTTGGAGAGACTGCCCTCACCAGTTCAGGCTGAGAGGCTCATTCCCCACGTAACCAGCACAAGCAGAATTATTCCATTTGGCAGGCTTGGTGTGAGATCTTAAAGCAAGCTAAAAGAGCTATTCAAAGTGCTTGATGCTTTGGGAAAATTAATTGCCCAAGAAGCTCTTTTTGCCCAATGGTAAAATCCAGTGAGGGAGGACTACATAAAAAGCAGAGCCCAGGAGGGCTTCTCTCACACTGCAAGGGGCATGGGAGTCACCTAGGTATCTTGTTAGGATGCAGACTTTGGCTCAGTGGGGCCAGGAGGGGCCTGAGGTTCTGCTTTTCTAACAAGCTTCCAGGGGATGCCGATGCTGATGCTCCTGTGGCTCCACCTTGAGTAGCAAGACTGGTCTAGAGCCAGTGTTCTCAAGCTATCTGTGGCGAAGGACTTCTAACGAGATGTCCAATTCTGAAATGGACTAATGATTTCATTTTAAAAAATACACCAGAAATGCTATGCAAAATGAAATAAAAAGACATATAAATCCCAGCACTTTGGGAGGCTGAGGCAGCCAGATCACCTGAGGTCAGGAGTTCAAGACCAGTCTGGCCAATGCAGTGAAACCCCATCTCTACTAAACATACAAAAATTAGATGGGCACGGTGGCAGGCACCTGTAGTCCCAGCTACTTGGGAGGCTGAGGCAGGAGAATTTTTTAACCTGGGAGGCAGAGGTTGCAGTGAACTGAGGCCATACCACTGCACTCTAGCTTGGGTGACAGACTAAGACTGTCACCAAAAAAAAATAATAATAAGGCATATTAAGTATCAGCCTTAAGTTTGTTTGTTTGTTTGTTTGTTTTTGGTTTTGTTTTGTTTTGTTTTGTTTTGTTTTGAGACAGAGTCTTGCTTTTGCCCTGGCTGGAGTGCAGTGGCATGAGTCTTGTCTCACTGCAACCTTTGCCTCCTGGGTTCAAGCGATTTTTCTGCCTCAGCCTCCTGAGTAGCTGGGATTACAGGCACCTGCCACCACACTTGGCTATTTTTTGTATTTTTAGTAGAGACAGGGTTTCACCATGTTGGCCAGGCTGGTCTCAAACTCCTGACCTCATGATCCTCCCACCTTGGCCTCCCAAAGTGCTGGGATTACAGGCGTGAGCCACCACATCCAGCCAAGTTTTATTAGTATTAATATTATCAGCTTCAACAGACATAAAAGGACTCCATTCAATTGCTATAAATATTTACTCTCGGTTGTTGTGACTTGTCTCATTGGGATTGGTAGCAAACCGTTCACTGCCCAGTACTGGACCACTGAGTCTACCCTGCCCCAGAGGACCCTCAGTAGAGCTGGGGCAGTAGAGCTGGGGAGACCCTCAGGCCCAGCACCCTAGGGGGGTCTGAGAGGGAGAGGGGACAATGACTGGCCTCCCGTTTCAGGCAGAAACCACTGTCTACGTTATTGTGAGATGTAAGTTGGATGACAGGGTGGCGACGGAGGCAGAGTTTTCTCCTGAGGATTCTCCCTCTGTGAGGATGGAAGCCAAGCTGGAGAATGAGTACACCGTTTCCATGAAAGCTCCCAGTAAGTAGCCCCCCGTGAAGGTGATGATGTAGGGCTTCATTGCTTATTTGCTATGCTGTCACCAATGCCAGGTATTACCATTTTAAATGCGTTTTTGATACTTTTTGGAGAGTAGTCCATTGTTTTCATATGCACTTCTTTGATTATTAGTGTGGGTGAATATTTTTCCATGGTCTCTGTTGTCGCATTTCCTCTTTTGTGAATCTCTGTGGTTGGTGTTATTTTTAATTTTCTCTTTCCCCCTCAAAACCCCTTCCTGTGGTATAGCATCCCGCCCCAGGGACAGCACGTCGTCATGACAGCAGCTCATGACTTGCAGTGAACCAATTCAGTCCGCCCAGTGTGGCAGAGATACAGTTTTACCTCCCATGATTTTCCCTCCTTCTGTGACCACTGGCCTTTGTGTAAAGTGCCTTAAACCCGAATTTTCTTCCTGTTCATTGAGGTACTGGGCCTACACTAGTGAGTAAAAAGATGAACATTTTTTGAAAATTAAGTTGCAGATCCAGTGAGGATAATTGCTGTGGCTCACAACCCTGCCATGTGCTGGTTTACTCACCTGCTACCTTCACCCATTCCCTCATTCCCACCCCAGCTCACCTCCACCCATTCCCTCACTGCCTCCCAGCTCACCTCCACCCTTTCCCTTATCCCCCAGCTCACCTCCACCCTTTGCCTCACTCACCCCCAACTCACCTCCACCCTTTCCCTCACTCCCCCCAACTCACCTCCACCCTTTCCCTTATCCCCCCCAGCTCACCTCCATCCTTTGCCTCACTCACCCCCAACTCACCTCCACCCTTTCCCTCACTCCCCCCAACTCACCTCCACCCTTTCCCTCACTCCCCCCAACTCACCTCCACCCTTTCCCTCACTCCCCCCCAACTCACCTCCATCCTTTCCCTCACTCCCCCCCAACTCACCTCCACCCTTTCCCTCACTCCCCCCCAACTCACCTCCATCCTTCCTCACTCCCCCCAACTCACACTCCACCCTTTCCCTCACTCCCCCACCCTCCAACTCACCTCCATCCTTTCCCTCACTCCCCCCAACTCACCTCCACCCTTTCCCTCACTCCCCCCCAACTCACCTCCATCCTTTCCCTCACTCCCCCCAACTCACCTCCATCCTTTCCCTCACTCCCCCCAACTCACCTCCACCCTTTCCCTCACTCCCCCCAACTCACCTCCATCCTTTCCCTCACTAACCCCCAGCTCACCTCCACCCTTTCCCTCACTGACCCCCAGCTCACCTCCACCCTTTCCCTCACTGCAGCCCCAGCTCACTTCCAACACCTTTCTTCCAGGCCCCAGTTAGTGTCCTTGCCACTCAGGTGGAGTGTGTATATTCACAGCCACTTTTCCCTGGATGCTTGTTTTTCCTGGGAATTTTGATAGTATCTTTTCTTCTGTTCAGACCTTTCGTCTGGGAATGTTTCTCTGAAGATATATTCCGGGGACTTAGTGGTGTGTGAAACCGTTATCAGCTATTATACTGACATGGAAGAAATTGGGAATTTATTGTCCAATGCTGCGAATCCTGTGGAATTCATGTGTCAGGTAAGGATATTGCAAGGAAACCTGAGCTTTCCAGGCATGTAATTTCTGCTCAAGGCTTATCAGTCTTGAATCTGTGGGATGGAGAGAGAGCTGGATTTCACATCTGACCATCTTCACTTTTGTATTCAGGCCTTTAAAATTGTGCCCTACAACACAGAGACCCTTGACAAACTGCTGACCGAATCCCTGAAGAACAATATCCCTGCAAGTGGACTGCACCTCTTTGGAATCAACCAGCTGGAAGAGGAAGATATGATGACAAGTAAGTTGGCAGTCAAACCTCAGGAAATTAGCATCCTGTCAACATATGCGTTTACTTTCTGCTGGGACTCTTCTGGGTCCCTTCTCTATAACCTCTCCTTTGATAAGGACTTATTCTTCACTGGGTAGCCTCATTCTTCTAAACTACAAATCTGAATACTTTACCCCCTTCTCAAAACACATGTGGTGGCTTTCGGAGGAGTAGGCAATGAGTGATTTTAAATCAGTTTGGTGTAAGCCAGTGGAGCTTGTTATGATTATTCCTCATAGGGATAGTATGAGGAACGGGTAATCTATATACTCTGTCAAGGGAGGTTCCCACTTGCCTTCTAGATAAAATCCGAACTGCTTAATCTGTTAACAAGCCCTCATCTCTCTCCACACTCCTTCTTGGCTTTTCTGTGCTTTGCTCTGCAGGAGGTATGAGCTTTTCTCACCTGTCTGTTGCCACAGACTCATGGAAAGACAGTTCTTCCTCCCTGCTGTGGTTGTTGTTCACCTGCAACTTCTCTTACTTCCTGTAGCAGCTTAGGTAGCATTTCCCCTGGAAGGCCTTCTCCAACCCTCCAGTAGGTTCCATTTACCTGCTTTGCACCCCCTGACCACCAGCACATTGGGGGCCATTGTCCTAGCGCTCCTCAGCTGTGTCTGTCTTCTTTGCTAGGCTGTCAGCTCAGTGAGGGCTGGAACTGTTCCTGGGTGGCTGGCTTGCTATAGGCTCTAAACAAGTACTTGTTGAATGAGGGAAGAGCAGCCTCTTGTGCACATGGGACACGCTGGGAGCTGGGAGAGTCACACCCCTTGCACAGGGATGGTGCTGGGCGTTCTGGACAGGTTGCCCATTGTAGTGTCTCTGTGGACACCACCCTTCCTGCATGCCATGGTTGCACTGCACAGATGGGACCCAAGTCTCTGGTTACCCTCTGCCTACATTCCATCCTTCTGTAGCCTAAGAGAACCATAAGGATGAGGTTACATGACCTTCAAGGCCTCCTCCTGGGGGATTCTCTTGCGTATTGCCTCTCCCCGTTTTCCTACTGTGGAATGTTCCTGTGGCACTTTTGTAGTTTGACTATTCTCTGTTAAGCTTGGAGCTTAGGGGAAAGTATTTCATAGCCTGACAATCTAGGATCATGGGAATGTTTTCAGACCCTTCATCCCAAAGGTCATATTTGGAATAGAAGTCTGGGTTTGTCATGTTAAAAAATATAAATTTGTATATAAATATTATATATCTATAAACTTGTTGGGCTTAAAAATAAACCTTTATGAAAAAAGAGATTTGTCCCTAGCTCCACAGACCCAAGCATGTCCATTTTCTTGGTTGAGTTCAACTTGCTATATTCAGACAACAGTAGGTGCAGGGGTCCATGGGGACCCAACACCTCTCTAGAGTACTTTGCTTCCCACCAATTAGAATGAACTGACATCCTGGTGGGGCTCGTGTGCATTAAGATCAATGTTCAGAATCTCTCCTAAATAAGAATCCCACTGAATACCATCTTACTAACCCTCCCAGGTCCTTTTGAGATAATCTGGAAGTATTTTCTGGTTGAGACCTAAAGGCTGCGGAAAGTCTAAGGAACATACCCAGGATTACTTGGTGTACTTATCATGAAATTAGGAATAAGGACTAAGAGGATGAAACAATAGCTTTAAAATATACACTCTGAACTTGGCAGAGAAGTTCAAAACATGATTCCTATTGTGCTTTGTGGCTGCTACTTAAGCCTTTAAAAAAAGGTCAGCACGTTTCGAATTAGTACTTTCTCTCAGGATTTTCTAGTCTTGTTGGAGAAGATGGCAGGGTATTAATTATTAGATTTGCTAATTAATTGAAATGTTAGGGCTGGGCGTGGTGGCTCATGCTGTAATCCCAGCACCTTGGGAGGCAGAAGCAGACAGATCACTTGAGGTCAGGAATATGTGACCAGCCTGGATAACATGGTGAAACCCCATCTCTATTCAAAATACAAAAATTAGCTGGGTGTGGTGCATGCCTATAATCCAAGTTACTCGGGAGGCTGAGGCAGGAGAATCACTTGAACCCAGGAGACAGAGGTTGCAGTGAGCCAAGATCGCACCACTGCACTCCAGCCTGGGCAACAGAGCGAGACTCCATCTCAAAAAAAATAATTATTTTCTCTGCACCTGAGGACATGATCTTCCATGGTGTCCTGAAAGAAGCTGTTAGATGTTAGGTCAATCAAGCAGTGAGTAATGTCTGGGTGCCTACAGTCGCCATGCTAGTCTTGGCAGCTTCATCTCCATGAAGAAGGGCACCCTGTGCGTTTATTTTTATCTGTCAATTCCATTTTCCTTGACGATTTTCAGATCAAAGGAATGAAGAGCTGCCCACCTTGTTGCATTTTGCTGCCAAGTATGGACTGAAGAACCTCACTGCCTTGTTGCTCACCTGCCCGGGAGCCCTGCAGGCATACAGCGTGGCCAACAAGCACGGCCACTACCCCAACACCATCGCCGAGAAACACGGCTTCAGAGATCTGCGGCAGTTCATCGACGAGTATGTGGTAAGGTCAAGGCAGGAGGGGCCCAGGCGTGGAAATGCGCTCTGTGGTTGTAGGGCTGCCTTTCCACCTAAAATACCCACAGATTTTATCTCTAGCATGTCTTCATGTGCCTCTTCTGGGTGTGGGCAGTATGTGTGGGCTTAAGAAATGAGCCCTAGAGTCACATGGACCTGGGTCCAAATTCCTGTACCAACACTTGTTGGTCTTGTGACACTGGGCAAGTCACATATCCTCTCTCAGTGTCCTAATATGCAGAAGGAAGATAATCATAGCTCCAGTCATTGAGTTCTTTTGAAGGTAAAAGGGAATCATTTCTATAAAGCACTGAGGTTCAACCTTCAAAGAATTTACAGAAACATTTCTAGAGTGAATCTGCTGAAGGTAGCGGCTGACCACCCCATCCCACCTCCCCACCTACCTCCAAGGCACCTTGCTGGGATGCTCCCAGCTGCCTCAGGTGAACCTATAGGCCTGTAGGCCCAGGTGAACTGTGTTAGGCTTGGTCCTTCTTTAGCAGAGACCACAAGAAGCTGTGCACCTGGAAAGGCATCAGGGCAGCAACTCCGAGGCCCATCTCCCGCTGACAGCCTTGCTCTCTCTTTCTAACCCCCTGCCTGGGTCCCATCTTAAGACAGGCGGGTACACCCAGTTTTATCTGATCATCTGGTTTGGGGCCCTCAGCTCCTCCTTGAACACTGACTTCCGGGTCCTTCTTTGAGGCTGATTACATCCCATGTCTGCATCTTATCCCATGCCAGGATTGCCTCTGATGCCCGGGAAGCAGCTGTTCTTCCTGATCCGTCCTGGTTTTCCTCCTTCTTCACAGACTCTCATAGGGTACCTGAGAATAGCTCAGCCTCTCGCATGGGGCTGTGACCTCACAGGGAGCAATAAACACAAACCTCTCTTGACCTCCAGACAGGAGGGAGCTTGACATGTGCCCAGAAACTTAACTCCCTGCTCTGTGTTGGAAAATCTACAAGACAGTGATTCAGGGAGGCACACAGAGGGGACTTCTCAGTGTTTACAGGTGTATCAGTGTTTTGAATAGAATGGCATGAGTCCTTGTTTTGGGCATTATTGACATAAATAAGGCTAAAAGGTGCTCTCAGTCTGGGTATATTTACTCAGCTTTTTCTTACAGTCACAAATGTACCAAATGTCGTATTTCATTTCCATGCCAATCGTTTTTATTAAGAATCTACTGTGTTCATAGTAGTAACTAGTATTTATTGAATGTATTTGATTTGAGAATGTATTATCTCATTTAATCCCCACCACAATCCTTTGAAGTTGACAGTATTGCAAGCCTTATTTTACAAAAGTGGAAAAGGGCTTAGAAAGATAAAGTCATTGTGCTTAGGGCTACAAACTATTAAGGGCAGAGACAGGATTTGCACCAAGTTTGATGCTAAAGCCCGGGCTTGTTATCCTGTTATATTTAACTGGGATGATTAAAGATGCGCTTTCAGTGTGCACTGAAGTTAATCTGGGTCATATCATCTTTGCTTTCTCACTATGGTCACCTTCAACCGATGCAGCTTCAGCATTGTGACCAAAAGATTGTCCCTTGGTGTTGCTTATGGCCTCTTAGAACTATTCCCATTTCCTTTTTTCACCACAACAAAACCAAAGGCCAGCTCTTGAATTTACAACATTTCGAAACTGTCATTTGGTTTACTGGGTCTTGTGAGAAAACTAACAAAGTGTCAATAATAGATTAGCTATCGGCTGGGTACGGTGGCTCATGCCTGTAATCCCAGCACTTTGGGAGGCTGAGGCAGGCGGATCACGAGGTCAGGAGATCAAGACCATTCTGGCCATGGTGAAAGCCTGTCTCTACTAAAATACGAAAAATTAGCCAGGCGTAGTGGCACACACCTGTAATCCCTGCTACTTGGGAGGCTGAGGCAGAGGAATTGCTTGAACCCAGGAGACGGAGGTTACAGTGATCTGAGATCATGCCACTGCACTCCAGCCTGATGGCAGAGCAAGACTTCATCTCAAAAAAAAAAAAAAAAAAAAAAAGATTAGCTATCTTAGGGTAGTGGTGGTGAAAATGAGGTTTTTTGTGGGTTGATGCTGAAATAAGGATTGTGAAACACCAACATTTCTTACCAGGAAAAGTTGTGCAGGGGTTTCAGAGAAGTTACCTCTCTGGCTTCACAATCACCTGGAGGGGCAGGATGGTGAGGGGGGACAGGAGAGAAACCTTTGTGATGTCAGGACACTTCATACCAGACCATCTCTCCTTTTGGGCACATAGGACATAAAACCAAGGCCAGAACTCCTGGAAACTGCAGGGTTTCTGACAGTTTGGAGGAGCCTGCGGAAGGAACAGGGCATATTGTGCCAAGCTGTGGAGTGACCTCTGCCTACACACAGTATGAGAACACCTCAGCTGCATTCCTGTTCGGCTCATTTGAATTTCTCTGTGCCTAGTCAGTAAAGGTCACACTTTTTTATGTCATTTTTTTTTTCTCTTTTGAGGAATCACTAGAGTGTAGAAGAAAGATCAAAAATAAGGATTGCTTGTGCTCGCTTCAGCAGCACATATACTAAAATTGGAACGATACAGAGAAGATTAGCATGGCCCCTGCGCAAGAATGACACGCAAATTCATGAAGCGTTCCACATTTTTACAGTGAGGGGAGCATCACACACTGGGGTTTGTTGGGGGAAAATAGGGGAGGGACAGCGAGGGGTGGGGAGTTGGGGAGAGATAGCATGGGGAGTAATGCCAGATACAGGTGAAGGGGAGGAAGGCAGCAAATCACACTGCCATGTGTGTACCTATGCAACAATCTTGCATGTTCTTCACATGTACCCCAAAACCGAAAATGCAATTAAAAAAAAATCAGGATTGCAAGCCCTTGAGTAAGATACTAGATTTTTGTGAGCTTTGTTTTTCTCATCTGTAAACTAGAGAATATTATGCCTTTCTCAAGCAGTAGCGGAATGGATTACAGCAGATAGGGGATAGGCAAAACCTACCATCGTACTTGACATTTAATAGGTGCTCATGGGAAAGTAACTTTTTGTTTGTTTGTTTTTAGGCAGAGTCTTGCTCTATTGCCCAGGCTGGAGTGCACTGGTGCAGTCTTGGCTCACTGCAACCTCCGCCTCCTAGATTCAAGCAATTCTCATGTCTCAGCCTCCCAAGTAGCTAGGATAACAAGCATGCTCCACTATGCCCCACTAATTTTTATATTTTTAGTAGAGATGAGGTTTTGCCATGTTGGTCAGGCTGGTCTCAAACTTCTAACATCAGGTGATCCACTCACCTTGGCCTCCCAAAGTCCTGGATTATAGGTGTGAGCCACCATGCCTGGCCATAGGAAAGTAATTTTTAATTTGTATTCTCTGGTCACCGGACATTCAGTGAGTATCTCTTGAGTGCCTAACTCTGTGCTTAGTGTTTTAGGAAGATACAAAGATTAAAACAAAATACAGGAAATAAACTAAAAGAGATGGGAAGCCTGGCCTCAAGGAGCATTCAGTTGGGTGGGAAAATAGAGATACACACAAACAATTGCAATCCTGACTCACGGGAACCTTTGCTGGCCACAGTGCTGTCCGGGGCCAAGTTCCACACAGAAAGCCAGGCTGCCTCAGTCCCTGGGCCTTGCCTTCTCTTTCAGGAAACGGTGGACATGCTCAAGAGTCACATTAAAGAAGAGCTGATGCAAGGGGAGGAGGCTGACGCTGTGTACGAGTCCATGGCCCACCTTTCCACAGACCTGCTCATGAAATGCTCACTCAACCCCGGCTGTGACGAGGATCTCTATGAGTCCATGGCTGCCTTCGTCCCAGCTGCCACTGAAGACCTCTGTAAGTAGCACAGCCCAGTTCTGCTTCCACCTTACTGCTGAGAAACAGCTTTTTCATTCCAGTTGACGACGGCTGGGGGAGTCCCTGCTTCCCCTCACTCCACCCCGGAGAGATGAAGGTCCTGTTTTACGCAAAGCTAGGGCTGGAGTCATGTGTGGTGGCAAGCAGAATCCTTCTTCAAACTTCCTCTGCTGTGACTGCTGGGAGAGTTTAAGCACATATCTGGAAGTCAGAATGGATGAAGTCATTGCCTTGTGATCTGAGAAGCCAAATCAGTGGCTCTCAGCCCTGCCAGGCTCCGTGGGTCCTTTTTAAAACAAACGTTTCGTAATATTCCCCCTTTCCTACTCTGACACGAGGTTTACATATTATATAACCTACCTATGTATAAAATTCTCAGAAGTCAGATATACTGCCCTAATTGAAATAGGAAAGAGAAGACGACATGCTCAGGCATGCCTGCACCAGAAGTCATGACAAATAGTCAGATGGAGACACACTTAGAATCACTGGCAGCATTATGGCTTCAAACGTTGACTGACAACGTCTGTGGTCTTGGTGGCTCAAATGATGGCAGCAGTGTTGTCGCTGGCCCCAGATTTTCCTAGATGGTGAACCACTCTTCATGATTTCCTTTCTAGTTTCACAGTAATTGAATTTCTAAAAAAAAATAATAATAAGTTTTGCAAAAATAAGATGTGTTTATACGTGAAACAGTTTAGGTTCTAGGCTCAGAAACTAATAAGCAGATTTTGGGGTGGAGGGATAATGTGATTTTATTGGATTAATATATAGGAAACTGATTTTCAAAATATTATTCTCCAGGATCACGATTTTTCTTTTAAACTATTTAACAAACTTTGTCCGTTTTTTATTATCTTGTTTGTTCCACTGCAAAAGCAGTACATTTTTACAAAAATGAATGAGCAGTACAGGCTCCCTCCAGTGCCTAAACTTGAAACAAAATAGGAATATACAACTGAGTGGAGAGAAGTCTATGTGACTTGTGACTCCCAACCAATATGGCATTAATAATAATTAGTAATAAAATAATAGGTATATATGTCCATATTTTTGCTAGTATCTGCTGACATTAAATTTAAAAATACACACATACATGTACATATACACAGACTGTAGAAGTATGCACATAGGTATAAATATGCATCGTACTCACTTTTTAAAACTTATATGTATGTCTAGGGGACTATTTGAAGTCACAAGGGACACGAAACATTTCTTCACTGTGCAGGGGTGTCCCACACATAGCAGGGTATCTAGGGTCCTTCCCCTTTCTACTAAATGCCATTTCCTTGGTGACCACCCAAAACACCCTCATAGACTTCCCAAATGCCCCCGGGGCAGTGCCACCACCCTTGAGAACCACAGATCTAGGTACTACTGGATCTGATCTCCATGCACATACTGGAGTTGAAGCAGGGGACACACAGCAGGCCCTCTTAAGAGGCTTATTCATGTGTCACCATCATTCTCTATGAAATGCTAAGTATGCAGAGTCACCACTATAGACTTAGCCCTCCTTCCCTCTGGATTTCGTTAATAGATTCAAGAAAGGGAAGTATCCACCAAGGTATCAGCATCATGGATGGGGGAATTTCTGGAATGGGCTAGATTGAGCATTACCAGCCTTCAGTCTGAAAAGAAGATGTAGGGCCCTGGGCCCACAGGGAGGCAGGCCTGCCTTTCCCATCCATGAGCTCATGGAAGAGCAGGTACCAAGAGGGTGCCTTGGAGAGAAGGCACAGGTTGGTCAGAGGGCCAGAGGCAGTCTCTGACGCCAGCACGCCTTTGACACTGACCCCAGCATCTGCGGGATGTGGTCCAGTGGTTCTCAGGCATTTGCTACTCAGACAGCTGCTCCTTCAGGAGAAACAGCCGTAAAAGCTCCCCTCCAGCACCTAACTGGGAGGGCTGGAAGTGCTGGTGGAAGCTCTTCCCGAATGAGCTGTGCCTTGGCATGGATGTGAGGAGAGAAAGCATCCTCCCTATCATTAATACCCTTGATCCAAAACTACCCTATGAGGATGCTTTTATTACCTGCACTTTACAGATGGGGAAAGGGAGGCACAGAGAGGTTGAACATTCCCAGTGTCACAGTCAGTGATAGAGCCCAGATTTGAATCCAGATTTCTCTGTCATTAGGACCATATTCTTTATACTATGGCAGAAATTGTTATCCACCACCATGCATTTTAGTTGTGATTCCTTTTGGAAAAACCATCCGGCCTCTATAGCCATGCTTCCCCTAGCTGCAGCTCTAGATATTGGATAACAAAACAGCCTCTGGCGCCCCCTAGCCTTGCCCATCATCCTTCTACCCATATACGCAATAAGCATTTCTGGAGCATAAGTACATTTCAGCTACGGATCTCTCCTGGGTATTGGAGAGCCAGGCGGGGAATTGAGTAGGACCCAGTACTTTCCACCGTGGAACAGAGACTCACTCACAAAAGAACACTTGGAGAACCACCAGTACCTTGAATCTGGAGACTACATCATCCTTTCTGCCCCGTGTCTTTGCTGGGAAACCGCTGGACAATTAGAGAATGCCCTATTTTATTGGCAGTTTAGCGCTAACAGAGCCTTAGCACTTATTGGCCCCCTTGGATGTTCTAACACATGCCATGTCCCACCACAGCACTGGAAACCTGCAGGGAGTGCCAAAGGTGTCTCTCCCATGATTCCTGGTGTGCTGGGCCCCTCCCAGCAGGGTTGATGAGGTTTACCAGGGCTTCCCAAGGCAGCAGTGTGCTGTGGAGCTAGCCTGGTTTGCAGCCAACTGCAACTTGTAAAGTCACCCAGGCCAGGGGGCTTCTGGTTGCCGTGGAGCTGGAAGGAGGCTGCCAGGGGGAGGCAGGCTATCAAATTTGGCTTCTTTTTACATGAGAAAAAGAAACTCACCACATTTTTCTTTTCTTTTTTTCCTTTTTTTTTTTTTTTTTTGAGACAGGGTCTGGCTCTGTTGCTCAGGCTGGAGTGTGGTGGTGCAAGCTTGCCTCCCAATAACAGCTACCTCCCTGGCTCAAGCCTTCCTCCCACCTAAGCCTCCCAGTTACTGGAACTACAGGTGTGAACCACCATGCCCAGCTAAATTTTGTATTTTTCACATAGACGGGATTTTGTGATGTTGCCCAGGCTGCTCTTGAACTTGTGAGCTCAAGCAATCCATCTTTCTTGGCCTCCCAAAGTGCTGGGATTACAGGCGTAAGCCACGATGCGTGGCCCACATTTTTATTTCCCCAGTATATGAACTCTGAATTTTCTGACTCTAGACATGGTTTGGTTTGTGTTTTCGTCTCTGTGGCTGTCAAGTTTAACCTTGAGAATAATCGCTTACCTCCTGGCTCAGAAGCAGCAGCAACTTGGACCTGGGGAGGAATCATTTATTTTACTAACCGTGGCTCTGTAGGTGAGAAGGCAGCTTAATTCATAAAAGAAGTAGGATAGAGGACACACCACTAAATCTAAGATGCATATTTGCAGCACCGCCCAGCAGAGTAATAACTTGAAACATCTGGCAGCTCTTTGAAAGTCCACAGACTGGCCGGCACGGTGGCTCACGCCTGTAATCCCAGCACTTTGGGAGGCCGAGACGGGTGGATCACGAGGTCAAGAGATCAAGACCATCCTGGTCAACATGGTGAAACCCCGTCTCTACTGAAAATACAAAAATTAGCTGGGCATGGTGGTGCGTGCCTGAAGTCCCAGCTACTCAGGAGGCTGAGGCAGGAGAATTGCCTGAACCCAGGAGGCGGAGGTTGCGGTGAGCCGAGATCGCGCCATTGCACTCCAGCCTGGGTAACAAGAGTGAAACTCCGTCTCAAAAAAAAAGTCCACAGACTGCCCATATCAATATGATCTCATCTGACTGTCCTAGAGTTGGTGGATAGAATTATCCCTGTTTCACAGGAAAAAAAACTAAGGCTCCAAGATTTAGTAACTTACTTAAGTCCCATCAAGGGAGGACTGGACCAGGAATCTGTGTCTTCATATTCCCAAGAGGCAAATCTGTCTGCTGTCCCACTGGAATATAGGGCTCTCCTGGCCTGCCAGCCCTGAGATGGACACTTATGCTGAGATGGAGCTATTTCTAAATGTCTAGATTGACATGTTTATCAGTGCCCCGCCATTGACTGTGGTAACCCTAGAGGCTGAAAATAACCATATTAAGGAAATGAGGCTGTGTTCATTCACTCACTCACTCACTCATTGACTCGCTCACAGGACAAACATCATAGGCTGGCAGGCTTTAGGCCTTTGCCGAACACCTAACTATTATTGGGACAAAAGTTTCTGACTTGAGTTTGGGAAAGGGTGGTAAAGAGGTGGCTTCTCCAAAGAGAATCCTAGATAATCACCTGAGTTGGAAGGTTATAGGGGACGCTCTCAGTGTTAATTGAAGTGGGGTTGGGGAGAGATGCTGGATTCTGACCTTGAGATTGTACAATTCTGCTCTAATCTCTCCTTCCCCTGAACTTGCTTGGGTGGATGTATACATACACACACACACACACACACACACACACACACACACACATCACACTCACAGTCTTTAGTTTAGATATGCTGCCACCAGGTGGTAACTACATGTCTTTGTTGTCAAATATTCAACTTTGCTCCCAATTCTCTTGAGAATTTTTTTATCAAGGCCCCACAGATGGGCTGGGCAAAGTGGTTCATGCCTGTAATTCCAACATTCTGGGAGGCCGAGGTGGCAGGATTGCTTGAACTCAGGAGTTCGAGATCAGCCTGGGCAGCATAGCAAGACTTCATTTCTACAAAAAGTAAAAAAAAAAATTAGCTGGCATGGTGGCACATGCCTGTGGTCCCAGTTACTCAGGAAGCTCAGGTGGGAGAATTGCTTGAGCCTGGCATTCCAGGATACAGTGAGCCGTGATTGCACCACTGCATTCCAGCCTGGGTAGCAAAATGGGACCCTGTCTCAAAGAAAAAAAAAAAAGACCCCACGTATTTAAAGC